TATAAGAGAGGTTCCTGGAGTGGAATTACTATGTCAGAGTGTACATTATTGTAAAATTCACTATGTAGCTAAACTGACTTTCATAACTTAATTTAGGTTGCAGATGCATCTGGGTGAGAGTATAACAATTAGCTACCATGTACAAGAACTTGGGTTCTATACCTCAGCGCAAAAAAAAAAAAAAAAAAAGAAAGAAAGAAAGAAAGAAAAAAATTGTTTATGTTCTCCCAAAGTTGCAAGATAGTAATAGCTGGGCATGGTGGCATATGCCTTTAATTCAAAAACTTGGGAAGCAGAGGCAGGCAGATCTTTGTGAGTTCCAGGCCATCTATATAGTAAATTCCAGGCCAGCCAGAACTACATAGTGAGATCGTATCAAAAACATATAAACACAAATAAAAAAAAGTTGCAAGATATTATATATCCTTACACAGCCTCTTTTCAACTCTACAGGTCTGGCTTGTTTTTTTGCTCTGTGTGTGTGTGTGTGTGTGTGTGTGTGTGTGTGTGTGTGTGTGTGTGTGTGGACAGGGTTTCTCTGTTTAGCCTTGGCTATCCTGAAGCTCATTCTGTAGACCAGGATGGCCTTGAACTCACAGAGATCCACCTGCCTCTCACTTCTGAGTGCTGGAATGAAAGGTGTGTTCCCCCAATGCCTGGCCAACACTAGAAAAAAATTTTTAAAAATACTTAGCTTTGCTCGAAATTGAGGAGAAAAAGAACATTTGTATGAAATTAAGCATTTTTCCATAGAGCTATTGTTTATCTTTATTTCTTTGTGAACTTGGATGCAGTCATTCCTATCCATTCATTTATTCTTTCTCTCCCCTCAAGATAACATCCTGCCATGTAATCCTGGCTGGCCTGCAATTCATTATGAAGACCTCTGGCTCAGAACATTCAGCAATCCTCCTGAGTCCTGGAATTACAGGTGTGCACTACCATATCTAGCCTTCTATAAAAAACAAAAGCAATGAACTCTGAAATTTAAAATTATTGTTTTTATTTTCTAGTTTTTCAAAAATTCATTTATGTAAAATGGGTCCATATGTACATGTGCATGTCTGCATGTCAGAGGACAACCTGTAGGAGTCCGTCTTCTTCTTTCACCATGTGGGTCCTGGGGACTGAAGTCAGGTCAAGCTCAGTAGCTAATGTCTTTACCAACTGAGCTATCTTGCAAGATCCCTTAACTTGCTTATGCTAAAATGTTCCTATCATTTTTTTGGGACAGGGTCTCATATGTAGCACTGGCTGGTATTGAACTCACAGAGACCAGCCACCATCTTAAAAGTGTACACCACTACATAGTACATTCATGTTCTTTTTGTTCCCCCAGAGAAATGTATGATTTTTTTGTTTTTGTTTTTTAAGACAGGGTTTCTCTGTGTTGCCCTAGCTGTCCTGGAACTCACTCTGTAGACCAGGCTGTCCTGGAACTCACAGAGATCTTCCTGTTTCTGCCCCCTGAGTGCTGGGATTAAAGGCATGTGCCACTAACACCCAGCTCAGTTTAGAATTCTTACATGGTCAAATTGCCTAATTTTAGATGTAGAAAGAATAAAAATAAACTTTCTATTGAGATAAACAACATGCCCAACTATCTTAACAGCATGCCCTGGGTAAGTAGAGTATGTTAAACACATGAAACTAGGGCAAGGAATACCAGTTACTTCTAGAAAACTGCCAAACTCAGGATGGTTGATCAGGCTGGGCCTCTGGCCTAATGACTGGCTGATTTAGGGTCAGTATGGAAGAAAGACTCCTCAAGGACTGTCAGAGCAAGGACAAGCCAGTATAGGCAGAGGTGTCAGAAAGGCTTTCTGTTCTGGATTACTACCTAGCAGACACAAAGCTCTCAGAGGGAAAACTTTGCCAAAAGTTTGTTACCTTGCCGCCTTCCATCAACATGCATCAACCGCAAACCAAATTATAACATCTCCAGGTATAAAAATAGCAATACTACCTTGTGTTCTCATCACTTTCAAAGAGAAGGACCAAAAATAGCACAGACAAAAAACTCAAGACTGTGTCCCACTGGCCTGTTAGCAACTATGTTTGTACCTGAGGTCTCTCCAGAAGCTTCTGGGGTCAGGGTTCCAGCTACTGCTTCCACAATGATTTCCATATTCCCTGGACTCTCTTCAGTAGCTGTGGCCTCTACCAGGAGGCAGCCTGGGTCAGCAGGTAAAGATGCAGGCTCTCCAGAAGTACAGGTGTTCTGGACAGGGCCCAGGATTCCATGGTTTGAGAGAGGTGGGGGAATCAACAATAGCTCAGAGCACAGTCCATCCATCTCTCCAGTGCCGTTAGCCAGCTGGGATGCCAACACAGGGTCTGACATTATCATTGACGTATGTGCTGTGGCCTCCTAAACGCTGACAAGTAACCAGGAAAAAAAAAACAAAATTATTATTATTATTATTATTATTATTATTATTATTATTTTATTATTTTGAGACAAGGTTTCTCTGTGGCTTTGGAGGCTGTCCTGGTACTAGATCTTGTAGACCAGGCTAGCCTTGAACTCACAGAGATCCACCTGCCTCTGCCTCCCGAGTGCTGGGATTAAAGGCATGAGCTGCCACCACACGGCTCCATGCCATACTTTATTATCCTACATATTTTCAAAGCAACATTCAACACAGAGCATAAAATGAGAATGAAGTCAGTATTAGTAGAGAACCAACAAGTTGAAGCCAATATTAAAGATTGCATATTGTATTTCTTGCCAAGTGACCACTGCAACAATACTAAACGGGGCCTAAGGATCTCTTTCTCAGTACCTGATGATCTCATTATTCTTAGTATAGATAGATGTAAAACCATTCCTTCACTTACGATCCTCATTGACCCGCCTCTCCAGACAACCCTTCCTCCCTGTCTTCCTCACCAGATGATTTCCCATTTTCTGACTCTATACATCCTTTTTTGCTTGAAGCCACTTTCCTGCCTCTTCCATCCAATCCATCTCAATCTCTTATCTAATCAAATATACCTACTCCTTAAGAAAACAAATACCAGTTCTGCTGCGAATGCTTCCTAACATTCTTAATTTTCTCTTTTGAGTCCTGACAGCCTTGATATGTAGCCCTATCGGAAACCACATTGCAATATTGTTTCCCTATCAGTCTCCCTTCCTAGATGTATAGCTCCCCTGGCTCAAGTATGGAATGTAGTTGAGGATGACTTTGAACTCCTAGTACTCCATCTACCACCCCAGTGCTGGGAGTCCAGGTGTACACAACACTACCTGTTTCAAATGAGTTGTTATTACATATCCCCAACACTGAATGTGGACCTTTGAGTAGTATATTGACATTTTTCATTTCAATGAACACAAAGCACCAACAAGCTACACAAGTCAGGCAAATGACAATTCTAGTGCCCAGCTGAATTGAAGTAAACCCAGATACCTTTTTAAAAAATTTATTTATTTTTATGTGTGTTGGTGGTTGCCTGCATGTATATCTTCGTGAGGGTGTCAGGTCCCCTAGAACTGGAGTTACAGACCATGTGGGTGCTGGGAATTGAACCCAGGCCTTCTTGGAAGAGCAGTTAGTGTTCTTAACTGCTGAGCCATCTCTCCATCCCCAAACCCAGATATCTTAAACCAAGGTATCAAGCCAGTGGTTCCTCAAACGCAAGGTAACTTTAGGATTCACTAACTTCCTAAGGCCTCCTGAACCTAATATACCGAGAAATGAATTAAACTACACACCCTGTTAGACAAGGCTGAAATAAGCGAGATGATTTTTCAAATTCTTAGTACTCAGGAGGCAGAAGCCCGCCTGATTTACAAAGTGAGTTCCAGGACAGCCAAGGCTGTTACAGAGAAACCCTGTCTTGGAAAACCAAAACAAACAAAACAGAATGACAATAATTACTTGATGAAATCGGGTCACCGAGGTTACGTAAAAGCCAGGCGACAGCCGCTATTCCTTCTTCTGCAGAATCCCTTCACTCAAAAACAGCAAGAGCAGACAGAAATTCAGAAGGTGTCATGGAAGAGCATTCCCGTGGTCAGAGAGGCTCTTTGGAAGCTACAGCTTCCCCCGACTACTTATAATTGCTGCTCTGGACAGTCTTCCAGCTGCATCGCGCGGCCTCAGGAAGATGAGGCACTTGGGGTAGGAGTGTGCCAGAGAAGTAACGTGCTTTCTTTGAGATCGGAGAACCAAGGGACACGGAAGCCTAGGGAACAAGACGCCCCGGACTAGGCACCTCGGTTCCCACACGCTTCTGGGCTTTGACTCACCGTGTGGCCTTGAACAGATGCACTCTGCTCGCTTCTCGGGGCCTTAGCTTTCCTATCGGTAAAGTGGAGGCGGCGACAGCGTGTACAGTGTCCGGCGACAGCCAAGTCACAAGATCCAGCGAAGGGGAAAGGCGTTTTGGAACCTGCAAGGCTTGGAATGATGCATCGTCACGATTATGGTCCTGAGGAGAGGCAGCGGATACCCGGGCGGGGCCCAGAGCGGTGACGCGAAGATGCGCCCGGGCCCCTCTCGTGGGCGTGCTCCCCCCGGCACCTCCTCCCATGGGGTCCCACCTCCCACGCCCACTCATGCTGGAGCTAGAGAAACTTTTACCAACAGCTCGCAGCACCCGCACTTCCCCTGGTTCCCGCCGACAGCCGCTCTCTCACCTTCTACCCCAGGGCCAGCGGGTGCTGCATCTCTATGGTCTGACTGAGACTGGAGCCGCTCCTTAGGGGCCTTTGGTGCTGCCGCCTACGGCCCACGCGCCTCTGGGAATCTGACGTGTGGCGGTCACTCTGTCTCTCGCGACGGCTGCTACTCTATGGTTCCCCCCCCGCATGTCCTTGAATACCCTAGCTCTGAAGCCCAAAGCGGAACCATAGAGAGTGGCAGGGCAGAGTGGCTCGAACTTTGTGGTAGGTGTGGCGGGAAGTAGATGTGAGCTCGGGGGCGGGATCTAGCGGCGCTACCTCCAAGTGCAGCCTGGTATTACCATCGAGTCTGAGGGCTAGAGAGTCCCGGCGGCAAGGGGGCTGTGTGACAGACTTCTCCGGACCACGTTCCTGGAAGCGCGAGCTGTGTTGTGTAGGGTGTCTGGGAGTCAGCTGCTGCGTGTCCGGCTCTGGAACCGGGAGTCAGAAGAGCTCCCTCAGTGGCTCTCTATGCAAAGGTGTTTTGGAATCATGGATCCCAGCTCCGAGCCTTAGTGGAAGTCACGGCTGCCAATTCACCGGTGGCCCGGCGTGTCAGAGGACACGGCGGTGGTGGAGTGTCTCAGGAGAGGTGTGCTGGAAATAATTCATCCTTTTTTCCCTTGGGAATTGTCTACAGTTAGGCCTAGTCGCGTCTTATTGGGTTGAATTTAAAAAGGCTCCGTGGAGGAAGTAGCCCCTGAGATCTCAATAAGAATGCCGGGAATAAAGAAGGGGGCATTCGGAACCAGCAGAACGGAGTGTGCCAGAGATAGGTAGAATTTGCATATTTCTGGAACTGCTAGTAAAGGTAGAAGTCCTAATGTGGACGTCCTGTATATCCGGTTGTGTTTGAACCCCAATGGGAAAAAGTCACCGAGGGTGCTGGAGTACAAGTGTGACAGAATTGGAGATGGTCCGGCTGTGGTGGCTGGATGATACAAGCGCTGAAGGTCCATTCAAATGCCACTTCAAGAACTAATATTTAACTTGCATGAAATAGTTTAGGTGGGAAGTAATAAAGGTCTGAACAGGCCATTAGGATCTGAGTGTAAAGAGAGGGTATTTGAAGGACATTTCTAGTGGTAAGGTCACTGATAGACCAATGGAAAGTCACCTTTGCAGACTACCCAATGGGGGACCCATTCTGTCTCAGCTCTTGCCAGGGATGGAAGTCTTGCCCTTCTCCCATCCCGATGTGAAGCTGGTTACATTGCTTTTTGGAGTTGAGAAAATCTCCAAACATGGTCTTCTGGCAAAAGGTCTTCTATCTGAAGAGCAAAATGGATTGGAGAGCCTGGGGTGTTTGCCCTGGCATTCCAACACCATATCTGCTCCACAAGAAGATGCTCAGCACACAGTACTGCTCACCTGTCCATCTTGCTTCTGTGGGAGGAAATGGGGCTAATTTGATGGGGGTTTGGTTTCTAAACTCGTCTTATGCTTTCTCCCAGCTCTGCTGCTCTCCACTCCTAGGTTTTGACAGTGCCTCGGGGCCTGTAAGCATCTGTGGTTTGGTTTTTGTTTTTTTGTTTTTTGTTTTTTCCTTTCAAGATGCCATTTACAGACTTTGTTCTGGCCCTAAAAGACAATCCCTACTTTGGGGCTGGATTTGGACTGGTAGGTGTAGGCACGGTTCTGGCTGCAGCCCGAAAAGGAGCCCAACTGGGTCTAGTGGCATTCCGGCGCCATTACATGATCACACTCGAAGTCCCTGCTAGAGACAGAAGTTATGCCTGGTTGCTTAGCTGGCTTACCCGACACAGTACCCGCACACAGCACCTCAGTGTTGAAACCTCATACCTTCAACATGAAAGTGGCCGAATCTCCACCAAGTTCGAATTTATCCCCAGCCCTGGAAACCACTTCATTTGGTAAGATTGGAAGCTAAGAAGGGTTCTGCGGATAGGTCAGATAAATGGAGGAAATTGGGTCATTTTGACAATTTTATTCAGGTATCAGGGGAAATGGATCCGGGTACAACGAAATCGAGACATGCAGATGGTAGACTTGCAAACGGGAACTCCCTGGGAATCTGTCATCTTTACAGCCCTGGGCACTGACCGAAAGGTTTTCTTCAATATCCTGGAAGAAGGTATGAGATGGGACAGGCAGGCTTTTGGTGGAGTGTTCAGTAATGGGGGGTGGAGGTGGGGGGTTGGGCATCAGCTCCTTGGAGAGGAGGAATAAGGATCCGAGTACAAGGAAGGAAGGTACCAATTGGAGAATCAGCTGTGATCAAGAGACTTAACTGTCTCATTTTCTTGCTCTCAGCACGAGCACTAGCCCTGCAGCAGGAGGAGGGGAAGACGGTGATGTACACAGCTGTGGGTTCTGAATGGCGTACCTTTGGATATCCACGACGCCGCAGGCCACTGGATTCTGTAGTCCTACAGCAGGGTCTGGCTGACCGAATTGTCAAAGATATTCGGGAATTCATTGATAACCCAAAGTGGTACATTGACAGAGGTAAGAAGCAGCTGAGATCTGAACTAGCCTATAGCTGCATGAGGTGACAGAAAATTTTAGCTCAGGGGAAGGGAAAAGAAAACTAGTCTATGGGGATATCTTTTTCTGATACTAAGACCACCAGACTAATAGGGAACAGAGGGGAGGGGGAATGTGGACACCTAGGCCAGAGTACATGATTCGCTTTAGGTCTTGTTTGTCTTGGTTATGTCCCTAGGCATTCCCTACAGACGTGGTTACCTTCTTTATGGGCCCCCTGGTTGTGGAAAAAGCAGCTTCATGTGAGTAGTCAAATTCTCTCAACTGACAAACAGCCTTCGCAGAAAAACTGGGCTTCTAGGGTTGGAAAAAAAGACACGAATCATGGAACAAATGACCAGGGTAAACATGAGATATATGGAACATCAAGTGGGTGGTATAGGAGGCTTAGGCCTCTGAGGCATACCTCCTAGGAGTCCCAGAGAGTCTTCAGGTTGCCTAGGACCTCCTTCTTGTCACTGTCCACAGAACAGCTCTGGCTGGAGAAGTGGAGCACAGCATCTGCCTGCTCAGCCTCACAGACTCTAGTCTCTCAGATGACCGGCTCAACCATCTGCTCAGTGTAGCCCCGCAGCAGAGCTTGGTGCTCCTGGAGGATGTGGATGCCGCTTTTCTCAGTCGAGACTTGGCTGTGGAGAGTAAGTGAGGATGTTGGGGACGAGGAGTCTCTTGTTTAGCTAGTTTCGTGTGCACGTGTGCAGGTACATGCACGTGGGGATCAGATGACAACTGTTTGGAGTTGGTTCTCACCTTGCACTTCATTGAAGCAGCCCTCTCTTGTTGATTCTGCCATACTCGTCTCAACTTTCAACATATCCTAAGATTTAGATGTGTACCGCTACATCCAGCTTTTTACTTGGATTCTGAGATCAAACTCGGGTGTTCAGGCTTGTGTAGCTAGCACTTTTGACTACAAAGCCATCTCCCTAACCCAGGGAAATTCTTTTAAAAAAGAATTGAGGGTAAGAAGTAAATGAGTAAGTGTGGAAGCAGGCATTTTTGGAGGACTGAGGCAGCAACAAGAGGTGCTGATAAGTAGGGAGCTGCAGTGGGGATTGGGGCACGATTTTAACATTCACATTCCTATCATCACCTAGATCCTGTAAAATACCAAGGTCTAGGTCGTCTCACCTTCAGCGGACTGCTCAATGCTTTGGATGGTGTAGCCTCCACTGAGGCACGTATTGTGTTCATGACCACCAATCACATTGACAGGTAAGGAGAAAGGAAGGCAAGTTGGGGGACTGAGGAGATGATCTGTTTGGGTGCTGGCAGGACTGTTGGCTGTGACTCTGCTTTTCCTCTTAGGCTGGATCCTGCCCTGATACGTCCTGGGCGAGTAGATATGAAGGAGTATGTGGGCTACTGCTCACACTGGCAGCTAACCCAGATGTTCAAGAGGTTCTATCCAGGGCAAGCACCTTCCTTGGCTGAGAACTTTGCAGAACATGTCCTTAAAGCTACATCCCAGATTAGTCCTGCCCAGGTGCAAGGCTACTTCATGCTGTATAAAAATGACCCCATGGGGGCTGTTGACAATGTTGAATCTCTAAGGTGATCATCAGGCCACTGTGCCTGGTGCCCTCTTCTGGACTGGGATAGATGCAGGCAGAACACTGTATACATAATAAATAAATAAATAAATCTTTAAAAAAAAAAAAAAAAAGACCCTTTCCACCTTAGAACTTTTAGAGAACAGACTTAGAGCCCCCCGGCCATACCCAAATCTTGTAGCAATTTAGAAAGAGTCATACCTAGCTCACAACTGTCAGTAACTCCAGCTCTATGTGATCTGATACCCTCACACTGACATACATGCAGGCAAAACACCAATCCACATAAAAGAAAAACAATTAAAAAAAGAAGAAGAAGAAGAAAAAGCCATACCATACAAGCTAGGTGCTGTTAAGCGAAGGCCAAATCTCTTTATTGCCTCCCTCCCACCCCCAGTTCCCTGTCCCCCCACAGTACTGCTAGGAACCTTCCTCGGATTCCAAGCCCATGGGCTCCCTGTGAGTACCAGACCTGTATGCTCCTTGGCCCGGAGGTAGGTGGGAGTAAGAAGAACCTGGTGTACGGCTTTTGGAGCGTTCCCAGCGAGCACAGTCCCGAGTGCAACGAGCTGTGGGGCCCTGCCAGCTACCAGGCCCCTTTTCCTGAGGAAGACCTGTGAGCCCTTTGTTACGGGGTTCTGGCTTTAAGTCCACAGTCTCCTTGAGAGGCTTCCCAGAAGGTGGCAGTTCTTGGATGTTACTGGTACCTTTTGTGGCACAGTACTCCCCTCCTTTTTGGTGCCTCCGATCATACTGTCGCCAGGAGCCACGACCAGATCGTGGAGGATCTAGCATAGATTTCTGAGTCTCACCCAGCCTCTGCTGATTTGGGCCAGCCCCTGGAATCTTCTCATATACATACTGGGTAGCCATGGGTAGAGTTGGCACAGTTGACTGGGCAGCTAGGGAAGTAGACTGTTCTGCAGAAAGGGCATTAGATGGTTGGGATCCTCTAGAGACATCTACAGCTGACTCAGGTTCCAGAGTAGTAGGAGGCTGGGAAGAAGAGAGGCAATGCATCAAGGGAGATCCCTCTCCACTACCAGCCGGCCATTATCCTCCCTAGGCAAAATGGAGCACATCCTCACAATAGCGCTGGAGGCACTGAGGCCAAGAGGGGAACCCTTTCCTTTCCTCACCTGCTGAAGGCTAATGAAGTACCGGTTCCGTTCTGCCTCAAGGTCAATGATGCCACCTTTTTCCTGCTGTCTCTGATATAGCCGCTTAAGCTCTTCCTGTTGGCGCAAGCTCTCTGCACTGGGTTGGTACAGCTCCTTGGAGGAAAGGAAGCAGAATGGCAGGAGAAAAAAACCAAGATGAGAAAGCGGTCAACTTGAACCCTAACTCTTCTAGGATTGTCCTAGGAGAGCTGCATGAGGTTCCTAGTGTTTTGTTTTAGACAAAAGTTTCATAAAGCCCAGACTGGCCTCAAACTTACCATTTGGCCAAGCATGACCTTGAACTGCTTTTCCTCCTGCCTCCACTTCCTGAGTGCTGGGATTAATTGAGTTACCACTGTACCAATACCAGGTTTTTTAATGCAGTGCTGGGGATCAAACCTAGGGCTTTGTGTGTGCTAGGCAAGTGCACTACTAAATGAGCTACATTCCCAATCTGAGTTCTTGGTTTTGTTCCTCAGAGTTGGGCTTCTGAAGTCTTAGGCTCCTGGTGGGGCTGTGGCTTCAAAGAATAGTCTTAAGCAAGTCAAACCCAACTCCAGAGAATAGCAGAGACAAGATGTCATTTCTCTCTCCTTAGAGAATGCCACTATTCCTGGTTTAGACCGGAAGGAAATCCCTTACCATGGGTTGTTGGGGTTCAGGGGCTGCTTTCAGCGAGGCAAGGTCATACACAAGGGGCTCCCTGCACACAGGACACTGCACACCGACTGCCTTCTAAAACAAGAGGAGAAATCACATCCCGCTCCCTGTCAGCCAGCCCAGTCCTTGGAGGGCTGGGGTTGAAGGGCACAAGCATTAGCTGCTCAGCAATGATGGGGGACGGAGCAGGAAAGGGCTGCCTAAGGAAATGTCTGGCAATGTTGCAAAGCCGCATGCAATATGTCAGTGTACACAAGGATGCCTTTCTGGATTGGGGTGAGAGTTAATCTCAAAGGTATCTACAACTAAATGATGAAAAGCCACTAGAATGGAGGGATGGAGATGGATGTGAAGGTCTAAGGGTACCAGACAAGAAAGCCGGTCTGGCAATGTCTACCTGTTTGGTGACAACATGCTGTGGCTCCTGTTCGGGTCCTTGTGCCTCCAGCTCTTGCTCCATGTGCTGGATGTAGCGAGCGAGGCAGTGGCAGTGGAAGTAGTGGTAACAGGGTGTTTTGGTAAAGGCCTCCTCTTCCTGTAGGGAGACGGATGCAGAGTCCTGCACCTGTGGCCACGCACTTGTCCTTACCTATCTGCTCAAGCTCACTCCAGGCTGCAGCTGAGAAACCCACCTGGAAACCATAGAGGCAGATGACACACTGACCATGGGGGATGTTGTTGTCTGTGAGAATTTCCTTCCCTTTCTGAAAGGAGAGAAGATGCTACTGAAATGTGGAGGCAGAAGACTAAACACATCCCATGTTCTTCTTCCAGGAGTGACTGGCTGGGTGTGATATCTACCAAGCCACCTTGCTACCTTACTGTTTATGCATTCCTATCCCGGTGATGTTCTATTTGCAAGAATCCCTCTCTATGTCTCCCTCCCCCCAATTGATCTTCCTGGTTTCAAAATCTAAGTCAATTATTTCTCCTGTCAGTAAGTCACCTTTAAGGTACTTGGAGATAAAAATAATATTCCTAGTTGGGCATTGTGGTGCATGCCTTTAATCCTGGCACTCAAGAGGTAGAGGCAGGTGTATCAAAGTCAGCCTGGTCTACAAATGGAGTTCCAGGTCAGCCAGGACTACACACAGATACTCTGCCTTGAAAAACAAAACACAAAGATGAGTTTTGATTATTTTTCTCTCTCCAAGGTGTGTATGTGTGTATTAGTTTTGTTTGTTTTGAGACAGGGTTTCTTTGTATGACTGTCCTGGAACTCAATCACTAGAACTCTAGATCTGCCTACTTCTGCCTCCTAAGTGCTAGTACTAAAGGCATGCACCAACACACCTGGCCCTCGACACACACACACACACACACACACACACACGCGCGCGCGCGCACACACGGTAGCTTCAATTCTAGCACTCAGGAAGCTAGGAGGATTACTTTGGATTTGAGGCTAGCCTGGCTACACAGTGAGACTGTCTCAAAAGTACAAAACAAACAAACCAAACCCACCCCATTTTCATTTTCTGAGATGCCTCTTTTTTGTGGTTGTTGTCTGAACCAGGAGTCTTGCTTTCTTGCCTTGGCCCAAGTTTTTGGGCTCAAGAGATCCTTTTTCTTCAGACTCTCTGGTGGCTAGAATTATTAGCACACACAACTGTGTGGGGCCTCAGAGGCTTTTCTTAACATTCTTCAAGTATAATTCCCCCATGGGGCAATGCATTTGTTCAAACAGACAACCAAATGGACAGAAATCAAATGGCATCAAATTGGTCTATGAAATATGCATTTGCATAGCTAAAACTAAAATTTCAGAGGCTGCACTAGAGTCTGGCCCAGGAGTGCTACTGTGCTCTAAATGTCCACTCACTGATTCTATGCCACTCATCTTCACTGTACTCTGAACATTTTCCCCAAGAAACCCCAAGGAGAAGGAAACAAGGGTGACCATGCTTGTGTGTTTTAAACCTCAAACAAGAAGTTACCCATGTATTTTGCTTCTCTGCCTTTGTTTCTTGTGGGTTGTTTACTTAACCAGAAAGAATATACAATTTTCTTTCTTTCAAGACAGGGTTTCTCAGGCGGGCATGCCTTTAATCACAGCACTCAGGAGGCAGAGACAGGTGGATCTCTGTGAGTTGAGAGCAGCCTGGTCTCCAAGAGCAAGTTCCATGACAGGCTCCAAAGTTACACAGGGAAACACTGTCTTGAAAAGCAAAAAAACAACAACAACAACAAAAAAAGGGTTTCTCTGTGTAACAGCTCTAGGTGGCCTGGAACTTGATTTGCGACCAGGCTTGCCTCAAACTTAGAGAAATCTACCTGCCTCTGCCTCCTGAATGCTGGGATTAAAGGTGTGTGCCACCACAGCCTGGCTTCTTTCTCTTTTTTTAAGACAGGGTCTGATGTAGCCCAAGCAATCCTTGACCTTGCTATGTAGTTAAGGATGCTTTGAACTCATGGATTTTCTTGCCTTCACCTCCAAAGTGCTAGGATCACACGTGTGCACCACTATGGCTAGCCTAAGTATGAACTCTTTGTGAAGTTCTAATGCAAGCTAGCCTTCAAGTGTTTATCTATGACTAAGATCCCTCATGTCTAGCCCCTAGGTAAAAGCCCTGTTATTTTCTACTTTCAGTTGCTAATGCTAAGAAAACAATAACTGCCTGAAGCCAGTCCTGGTGGCACAGGCTTGTAATGCCAACTACTTGGAAGACAGGGACAGGAGAATCACAAGTTAAAGACATGCTTGTTCATTTAATGAGACTCGTTCTCAGAATTAAAATTTTTAAAAATGCTATGAATATAGCTCAGCAGTAGATCACTTGTCTAGTATGTGCAAGGCCTTAGGTTTGAACCTCAGTACAGGAAAAAGAAAAAGTACTGAAACTGAAGCAAGAGAGAATGTAGGGTGTGGGAACGGATGCCTTTATTCCCAGCACTTGACAGGCAGGGGCAGATGGATCTCTAAGTTCAGGACAGCCAGAGCTACATCGTGAGACCCATCATGGTTAACTAGAAGCATCTAAGAAGGAACCACAATTGAGAAAATACCTTCATAAAACTGGCCTGAAGGCAAGCCTGTGGGGCATCTCCTTAGTTAGTAATTGGTGGGGGAGGGTCCAGTCCATTGTGGATGGTGCCATCCATGGACTGATGGTCCTGAGTTTGATAAGAAAGCAAGCTGAGCAAGCCATGATGACGAGCAAGCCAGGAAGCAGCACCCCTCCATGGCTTCTTCCTGCCTTAAGTTTCTGCTCTGACTTCCCTTAGTCATGGACTGTTCCTGAAAGTATAAGGTGAAATAAATCCTTTCTTCCCCAAGTTATTTTTGGCCATGGTGTTTCATCACAGTAATAGAAACCCTAATTAAGACCAACAATAAATAAGTAAACAAACAAAGAGAAAGAACAGAATAGTACAGAATAGAAAAATTAATGTATGCCAAAGAGGGAAAGTTGCTACATGTGGTGGCACATGCCAACAATTTCAGTATATAGGAGGCCAAGGCAGGAGGATGGCTGCCAGTTCCGGGCCAGACTTACATCAAGATGCTGTCTCAAAACAAAACGAATGACAAAAGCCCCACAACAAAATAAAAGAGGAAAAAATACTTTTTCATCAAGATGTTGGAACTGACAATTTGGGGAAGCTAAATATGAGATTTTTTTGAAACATGGGAATTATCTTTCTAAACTAATTGAGGGTCTAAGCAAACAAGGACTTAATGTACTGACTGCAGAAATGCTCTAGCCTGAAAGGAGGACATTTCCCCAGGCCATCACACTTTACCTCAATGAGTTCATAGAGCATGGCTGTGCCTAGTCCCTCCTTGGCCACATGGCCCAGTGCCTGTGAGATCCTGGGAAAAAATAATGAAGCCAATATTAAAACTTCCTTCCTTCAGCATGTAGAACTGAATTCTGAGTCTTCCTCTCCCAACTAGCCCAACTTACTTGTGGATCTGCTCATCTGAAAGCCCTCGGGGGTTACGGATGGAGATCTGTGGCACCTCATGGGGATACTAGTGCAGAAAAGCAACATATTAAAGTGACCCACTCGAGGGACTCTCCCCTTCTTCCCTTCACATTCATGCAGAGGCCTCACCTGTACTGGGACCTGAAGCACCAGAGTAAAACAGACAAACTGCGAATCTTGGACCTCTGCGGTGGCCGGGTGCAGAGTGATAAAAATCTCCCAGGGTGAAGATCTGCAGGTGGATGAAGTGAAGACGCAGGGTGTGACTGGGCAGGGGCTTGAAAGCTCGGGAGGAGTGAGGTGAGACAGTAAAGCAGGTAGAGGGATGCTCACTGGACTTGTTCTTTTCAGGGGGAGAATTAAGGGAATAGTGTTTATGACAAACATCACCTCCGAGTCAAGGCTCACAGTACCCTAAGCCCAGATTCTGTGCAGAATCATCTCACTACGAAGACTCCTGCCCACCCCCAATTGAACACGCACCTGCCATTTCCTTTCATCACCTGTAGTTCATCCAGATAGATAGACTCTAATACTTCAACTTCAGAGGGAAGGACCCTGGAGAGTAAGGGGGAGACTGAGTCACTAATACAGTTTTCCCTGCTGAAGCCTGCCAAGGCTGATGAAGACTCACTTAAAAAACAACAACAACAACAAAAACCTACCTCAATACATTATTTGGTATTTGGTAAATTATTTGGTAAAATAGGGAAATATTTCTTTAAATTGTCAATTGGCCAGGTAGAAAGAATGGGAATTAGAATTTTAGAGTTCACCTCTGCCAACCTGAGAAAACAGATTCCCAGAGAGATGAAACAACTGACCAAGGCTTAACACAGGAGGAGGAATAGGACCAGTCAGAGCCAGGCCCTGACTTCCTGCTCAAGTTTCTACAGCTGATTATCCTTTGGTGGCTCCTCCCTGACTATCTATCTATCTATCTATCTATCTATCTATCTATCTATCTATCTATCTATCTAAACTCATTACTAACTCATTACTAACAAGGTTACCAATACTACTCCTGCCTGCCTATACTGTTCAGCACAGTTCCCTGTACCCTGGGTGCTGCCAATAACCTTGCCAACACTAGTCAGTCTAAGCATCCTCAAAGGATATGCCAAGATGAACAGGTTTAGGTAATCTAAAAGCTATACTGCATTAGGAGAGCTATAGGCCTTGTAGCTGATAGTAGGCAGAAACTACTTACCAGCTATATGGTCAGGTCACTTATTTTTGGAAGCCTGAGTTACACTGTCTACCACTTAGAGATAATACAACATATTCACTAGGGCTACTGTGAGACTTAAAAATTGTTTATATACAGTGCCCAAGTGTATGAGACATAGTACCTAGTCTAAGTGATCTCACCCCACCCTCAAAAGAAAAAAGAGAAGGGCATAATCTAAGTACTGTGAATACACACATGACGCTGGATTTCTAGTTAACCCAAACATCATGTCGAGTACAGGGTTTGTGGTCCTGATATAAATCAGAAGGCACACATTTAAACATACAAACAACAATTGTAATGACACTGAAGATGAGTGATTGAGTCCACAGCCCTACCCAGGTGATATATAGAAGGAGCACACCCAATAGGAACTTTATCAGTGGTGGTTATTATGACTATTTTTTAGCATTCTTAAGCCTTACACAGAAACCTTAAAATATAAAGCTTATTATTTCACAAATAAAAACGACATTCTGGATGACACAGACTACTGCAATCACGACTACGCTCTCATGACTCAGGTGTCCCTTCATAATCTTAAGCATTTTTCCTAATAGTAAAGAGCATTAGTCTACATAGCTTTAGAAAGGAAACTACTGGCTGGCCTCCCTGAACCAAAGCAACACTGAGGTACAGCCTCAGTTACGACATCTTCAGTATTTTGCACACGTTAGGTGACCTGGGTTGTGGACGTAAGATACAGACTGGGAGAGTGATAAGGTCTTAAGTCACTGAAGGGGGTGGGAGAGGGTACTAAGATTAGAAGGCCTTAACTTATAGAGATATCCTTTGGGTTATCTAGTCTCTTGAGGTCTTACACTTAAGCAATTAATGAAAAG